TATTGTGAACATTTATAGTGAGATTTTCCTTTGGTCTTCCTGGGTTTCTTCTGCATTCATCCTTTTGATCGCCATTCAGTCACTTTCCTTGCCCATCTATTGTCCTCCGTTCTTATGAGTTGTCCTGCCCATTTCTACTTCAGTCTTGCCCCGTGTTCAGCAATGTCAATTTGTTTTCTGGCGGTTCAATTGGATGTTTTTTTCTATCCCTCAGGCGTATTATCAGCATACTTAGTACCATCCTTCTTTGTGAAATTTTTACTGGGACTATTAATGTCAGTTGAAGACCTGGGTTTTGAGGTGCTGTGGAAATTTTGTCTTAAATGCGGTATTGAGTCTGAAACATGCAGCATATCCAATTTCAATCCTTTTGTTCATTTCTGGAGGCAGAAAATTTTTCTTATCGAAGGATATATTCTGCCCAAGATATATGTATGCTTCGACGATCAGCACACTGATGTAACATAAATCGACCATCGTAACGTCGGCTGAGTTTGACCTTATTTTCCTTTTAATCGGGACCGTGATTTTTTGCGGTATAGTTTAGGGCCCAGAGCACCGTTTGGAGGACTTCCATTACTCTTGCGAGAAGTGTTTACCTTTGATGTTAATGCCACCATTGCTGTTTTGCGAATTTGGGGAGGTGCAATATTGATTATAGTATCCTTTTTAATATTGATAACTTCATTCAGCTGGACGTCCAAATTTTGTGTGTGGAGACTTTTGTATCACACCGGTGCGTAGTGCAGCTACAGAATAGGTTATTGCTAGTGCAGCAGATCTAAGTATGTTTCTATGTGTGTCTGGTACATAATATGAGCTGGCTTGCGATTTCAGTTGGTTTGGATTCGGACACGTTGAGTTCTTAAAGCCTGCGTCTTCTAAAATTCCCATATATCATATTTGATGTAGTAGCTCTTTCATGATTATCTGAACCAGCGTTATGACCTTCTTAAAGTTGTAGCTCATCTCCCGTTTTTCCAAGATAATAAGACTTGCTTGCTTTGTTGCAGAAATTACGCTCTCTAGCGGTCCAGCTATGAATTTGAATACGTTTTCAAGCCATTTTTATGCCATCTTTACTTATAAATATTTTTCTCCACACCGCTAGTCCTAACCGTTGTGAAGATACAGCCGCTCTTTACTCTTATCACTCCATCCTGTATATACGAGTTTATTTATATGAGTTTACTGCAAGATAATCTTATACGGGGAGTCACTGATCCTATTCGCTGGTTTGGCGCACCAAGCCATTTCGCAGCAGTAGGCCAAGTCATAAAAATTCACTCAGTTGCCTGGTTTAGCTCTGGGTCCTGCCAATCGAATTCTTCACCTGCGCTCATGCGAGTTCTGTTGGCAATTTTTGTATATTCGGCTTTGCTTGTGGTTTCCCTTATTTTCGTTCTGGTCGCCTCGGGCAAAGTCCATTGGTGCAATATTCCCTATCTCTCTCTGCAGTTTCTCCGTGTCGGTTCCATTCATGTGCTCCGTTGTTCTACCATACCCTTAGTGTGAATGTGATATATTTATGGTCGCTGAGAAGTTGCTTTTCCATCCCTGTCCATTTAGAAATTGTCATATTTTTTATTCGGCTTACTCGTGTGGATTTAAATGGCAGTGGCTCTATGTTGTTTACCACTTCGTAGCCTTCCTTTATAGCCCAATGCAGCAGTTTCTCTACACATTGGTCTGTGGTATTTCGTCCCAATTTCCCTCCGTAATAAAGCTTTCCTTAACGTCTGCTTCTTCGTCATGGAGAGACTATTGGTGAGATCCGTTGCCTTTGCGAAGCATCACGTAAATTCCTGCTGCGTTGTCAGTACCAAGTCCTCGCACTCCTTTTGCCTTCATGTCATCTGTCCCATATGTTGGAATGTTCAGATAACTATCGGAGGATATTCCTATCTAAAATTTTCCAAGTCTTTTACGTTTTCGTTGTTTATACAAATGGCACTCCTTTTCAAGCTGGCACCCCTCCATATTTTTAATAGATATGACATTGCCGAGCTATTCTAATAGTTATTTAGGTTATGTCACTTTAGAGTAATCCCTCTTAGAGATAGTGTGACCCTCCTGCCCGCTTCAAGATTTCGATTTGAATATTGGAAAGGTTTAAGAGTTCTTAAAAGTCCCGATTTCATTGCAATTTTTTTGCATTTGCAATAGGATCAAATTTGGCGTTTTCCTAAGTTTTTTCTAAATTTTCGAAGCCTATGCGGCGGATTTGGCAAAAATACCGCTAAGTATATTTTCACCGGCTGATCAGAGAGCTTCTGCTTTCCAAGCCTTAATTATTGAAAACAAAAAAAAAATTAAAATAAAAGTCAAAAATACAAAGAAAAACTTCGTTGGAAAGATTCCCCGGCGGACAAGAAGCCCTAAAAACTCACCAGTTTGAAAAGTCGCAGTTGACGCCACACGTCCGATAACGGACCTTATGGTCAAGATAAACTGCTACTATTCTTGCAAAATTTCAATCCACAATACCATCACAAACCACAAAACACCTGTGGTTGATTCTGTCTACTTCAACCTGCATGCTAGCCTAGCGTGCCTTGTCACCAAGATAAGAAAATTGGGACCTTTTGGAAGTGTCAATTATATGCGCGAAATTCGAATTAGCAGCAGCGAGACATTCGGTTCCCGCTAATCTGGTTGATTTTTTCCCTTAAAACCAAGCAATAAATTGACTGTGACAACAAATTTTTTGATTTTTGCGTAATTCTTTAGCTATAATTTGGAAATGTCACATTTAGTTGAGTGAACTGAGTGAACAGAATTAAACTGAGTGAACAGAATGTGACAACGATAGAGAAAATTACGTTTACTCTTAACCGGTACTATTTGATTAAAAATTATCATCGTCATAGAAGTACTAAATGCGCATGGTTTGAAAACATTCTCAATTATTGTGAAAACTTGTAGTGAGAATTTGCTCGATTTTTACTTTCAAATATTATTCTAAACAACGAAAGTTTGTGCCGAAAAACCGTGCTTGTTCTGAAATGTCCAGGCTGCAAAAAGATACCTAGTGGTATTTTTTTCTAAGCAACTATGGTTTCCAAGGAAAGTAAAATAAACAATTTCTCCAATAGTAAAAGGAACCAAGAGATTCTGAATACGCTTCTAAATAGAGGAGACCCAGGTTTTGAAAAACCATGCTTCCAATAATCTGTTGCTTTACATAAAAAACACAAAATATTTTAAAATCAGACCACGAAGGCTTTCCCGGCCTGTCAAATCACATTTAGAAATGTTTTCCGGGCTTTGAAGCCGTGATCCATGGGAATTTCCTCCTGATGTTCCCACAACTGCGATGGACATTATCAAAGGTGATGAGGCAGTGGGCGAAGTGATCTCCCGTGGTTACCGACTAAAACTGGTTCAACTACTACTACTATTTGAACATATTTATTTTCAGCTAAGTATACAAACTTCCTACTGCTACTTATCTACGGTTTTGGTTTAACTACGGGTTGTTGTCATGTTTAAAGATCTCAATGGCCTCTCTGGTTAGTCTCGGGTAATACCGTAGAGATTGATGCAAATTTTCCCCTTCCTTGAATTTGGTGGCCGTCTAGCAATGCGTGCTCCGCTACTGCTGATTTTTCGTTTGTCTGCAATAATCTGCAATTTATTTTATGCTCCGTGGTCCTAGTATTTACACTACGTTTTGTGGTGCCGATGTATGCTCTGCCACAACTGCATGGAACTCTGTAGACTCCTGATGCTGATAAAGGATCCCGTTCGTCCTTCCAAATCTCAAGATCTCAAAGTCGGTTGAATTGTTCGAGTTGGTTTAAAACTGTTTTGACTTTGTGTTTCTCCAGTATCCTGCCGATCCTGTCCGTGACTCCATGTATGTATGGGAGGCAAGCCCAACCCTTCCGCTCATCATGCGTATCTGTTTTCTCCGGTCGATCTCCACTGTTTCTTGATCGAATTGCTCGATCGAAAGGCCCTTTCTAGATGTTTCAGTTCTCTGTCTAACTCAGCTAGTTCGCAAATTCTTCTGGCTTTTTCGGTGCGGGTTTTAATGACTCCTCTCTTTTGACTGGGATGGTGGTTTGATTTACTGTGCAGGTACCGGTCGGTATGTGTCGGTTTTCTGTACACCGTGTGAGTCAGATTCCCGTTGGATTTTCTGGTTATTAAGATATCTAAAAATGGCAGTCGCCCATCCTTCTCCACTTCCATAGTGAACTGTATTTCTGGGTTTATTGAGTTGAGGTGTCTCAGGAAGTCTAAGTTCAACCAAACCATGGCCCTAAACAACAAAAGTGTCATCAACGTATAGAAACCAAGACTAAGGTTTCCTCGCGGCTGTGTAAAGAGCGTTCATCTCAAAGTCCGGAAAACATTTTTAAATGTGATTTTAAAATCATCAAATTGCAAATTTTGAAATTATCAAATCAAGTCTAATATTAAACCTATTCCACATTAGTATATATTGGTATTGCACATTTGCCACCCATTTTTTAGTTAGAAAAAAGTTAACTATTTTTTAAATGTCTTTTCATACATAATTTTTCTCTGATAATAATTATTTCGGTTTTTTGTTTATAAAACTCTATCTATATTCCACAATGCGTATAATAATGTTTACGTTTTCATTTTTATTTTTCCAAAAAACAAAACAGTATCTCACAATCGGCTACTTTACTAGTACTCCACTAGTAGTTTTTAAGCTTCCTGATTGCATTTGCAACCTCTTCTGTGGTGATAGAGGCCCCAGTTTGGTTGGCTTTCCCAAAATGACTCGGAACTCATCATTTAATAGGACCTGCATGTACTCCTTCCACTTTTCCATTCTTTAGTCAATCTCCAGTAGTGCTTCGCGATTCGAGCTTGTAACGATCCCTGGGTATCTAGATCTAAACATCTCTGCAGCTCATTTAATTTTTTTATGTAAATTAATCGAATCATGTTGATTTTCCAGTTGTTCAATTTTGGTACACTGCTCTGCCAAGCAAAACGTAAATACAATATAGTTCACTTTGTGTGCCAAATAAAGGCATTTTCAAACAAGATAGTTCGTGTAAAAAATATCGTCTCAGAATGAATTTAAACAAACCAACATCCATGGTGATCACCAAAAAATGAACATTACCATAAAGTTGATAATTAATGATCAATAGAAAGATTTCAACACTACAAATATATAGACACAATAATAAATTAAACTGCTGAACAATTACATACAATAAAATCTAGAATTTAAATAGCCGGAAACTCTTTCATCAGGTTTCAGAAATTCTTGTGCAGGAAGGCAAAGACTAGCGGTGCTATCGACGCATTTGTCAACCTCCTTAGCTAATAAAATTGCAAAAGTCGAGGATCTCCATCGCGTGAGCAAAGGAAAAGAAATATAAAAGACCAACAGACTGTATACTTCGTACATGTTGTCAGAGAACGGAAAAATCCAGAGAAAACAAAGTCAGGGACGAAGAAAAGAACCTCCTTTGCTGGAAAAAACCTTAGATAATGGTTTGAAACGTCATCGAGCGAACTATTTTTTGGTAGAAAGGAAAATACGCTTACCGTTCTTGATGGGCCGCCCGGCGATATTGGCATATTTGTATTTTAAGCTGCAAATAAAAATTGATATTATTTTGATGCCAGAGAAATTGAATTTGTGTTAAATGAAATAGTTCCAAGCAAATGAGATACTCCCGAACTTACCGAACACATGATCTCGACAGAGCCACTCGACATTTTATCGCAGACCAAAACTATTCTCTACTGCAATTCCCCCTCCACCATCCTCAGAAGAAATTGCGGATAATAATACCTTCGGTGTCGAGGGTCTCCCTTACGGGCCTCCTTTCTCTTCCTCACACACATAATTTAAAATGGTCAGTTTTGTCAACATCCGGACCACCTAGTGATCTTTTTATAATACGTAAAAAAAACTCGAAAGCATCACTTTTGGTAGGATATACAAAGTTTAATATTGGGTCCGAACCTGTTATTATTAATGAATTATCAAGGAGACTACATCAAACTAGATGTTCTTCACAGGGCAGTCGACAGCACTATTCCTTACTTCCACTTAAAACTGGTGCGTTTTTAGGATTTTTGGCCGTTACAAATTAGAAATTATTCCTGAAGTTTGAACTGAACATTTTACCAGTAGCAAGTAACGACCGCGAAAGTTACTTGCTACATATGCTGAAAATCTCCGTACTACGAAGCGCGCTACAGAAGTTTTTAGAATGGGGAAGACAAACTCATATTTTTTTCAAGAAGGCTTTATTATTTGTAACGATAAAACGATGTTTTCCAACGTTTTGGCTGCTTCTGTTCAGTTTCAGGGTCTTCCCTTCACCTTTCTCTTAATATTCGGGAACAGAAAAACAAGAAGGGGAGAACAAGAAGACACAAAAAGTCAAGACTATACGGCGGACTAGTCATTAATTCCACCTTTTCACCAGTCAAATTCCATCGAATCAGAAATTTGTTAATTTTGATAAGATATGTGTTGCGCACAGATGACTGAGAGCACCGCTTATCTAAAACGCCGCCACCGAGACACGTTCCTGTTTGTTAACCTGTTGTTAACCTATTGCTAACTACACACGGTTAAATTAAGGCCTTTCCGGCGACGTACGTCGTATCCATCACCATATGGATGCATTAGTCAATATGACGGTTCTGAACGAGTCTACATAGACAAAGCTTCCTTAAATCGCGTTTATATTTGCATCTTATTGTGTTTGTTGGGCTGCAGTTTTAAAATGGTAGCTAAATAAAAAGTTGCTCCTGATTTACAGTGTAAAAGCTATGGGTAAGTTACAGTAATATCATTACATGCTCTAAAATACTTTTGGTAATACTTTGTTATCGTGTCAGTCCGGTCTCCATTCCCTGTTCCCGTTTTATAAGGGTGCGATTCTGTAATTCGTCTTTGCATCGATGTAACTTTTACATTCTGTATATTTAAAGTCCACTGTAAACTTGGAGTTGCAGCTGTAGTGAAATCGGCATTCTGTAGACGTTACAGAATGCCGATACGGTGGAACGAGGCCGCTTACAGCGGAATAGGTATTTCAGATTGGACAACTTTCTGCAAGGTATACATCTATATAATTTTTAGAACTATTATTTATTTGGGAAACCATTTCTGGAAGAGAATTCTATTCAACTAGTCTAGACAATTCTGTGTATGTCTTGAATTCAATTTGAATGTTTTCTAATGAAGAGTAATTTTCTAGGTCACATAAATTATTTTTACAAGTTTCATGAGGTATTTCACTGCAAATCCACCACAATACATACATTTCTGATATTTTTAGCGTTCCTGAAAATACCACAGAAACAACTTTTTCTTCTTTTTTTTAAATTTATCACATTTTATCTTGAGTAGTTCCAACACCACATGATTTAAACCAGATTCTAAATGCATCCCAGATAACCAAGAACGTAAAGAACTAATGCTAGGAAGACAAAAGTAAGTTTCTAAAAAAGTACAAAATTTAGTCGAGCAATAAAACAAAGCAAGTTCAAACTCTTCCTCATGATCTGTATAATGCCTACCGTTTTTTTCGTTCCAAAACATCTAACTTTACTGCACAAATTGATTGCAAACTGTTTTCATGCCAGGTGGGTTCATACCTTTGTTTACAGTTAACTTTTTTTAACTTTCTCCGCAATAGCTGATTTTGTTTCCTATAATTTGAAACAAGTGTAGTTTTATATTTTATATTTAACAGTCAGTTGGATGAAAACAGCAAGTATTACACTTTGAAAAAATGAATGGCAAGTGTTTATGGACTAATTTATATGTTTTGTTGCAGCATTTTACCAGCAACTATATTTTTAGATCTACAACACTCACATTCACTCTGCTCTACGGGTTGAGGTCCGTAACACTCAGATTCATGTACTGGCGCAAACGGCATTTTACAGATTGCCTAAAATACCGTACTCAATTTGCAATGCGAAGTTCTGGTTACTTGGATAGTTTGAATTTAGTTTGCTGATTGCCTTTAATATACATAGTGATTCAAAATTGGTGTCATTCCTCTGGAAGTGTTGTCTGGCGCTGTTATAGGAGTACAGAAAAAATAGTAAAAGATATGAATTGTTATTTAAAACTGAGAAATTTGCAAAAAACTATATCAGAAATACGACAGCAATGTTTTTGAAGGTAATCTGCCTAATTATCATTGCGCGTAATAATTGCTTCGTAATTATTCAAAACTCCGGTAACCATGGAGTTATACAGACTGACAATAAGATAGACAAGGATAAACGGTAAATTCAACAAGATTTGTTGACGAAATGTCAACCTGTTGTCATAACCTCGAATATTGGTGTTTATAAATCAACTATACAACACCAAACATTTGAATGGTTAACTTTGCAACACGACAAATTGAACGGAAACAAAGAAAAATAACAACGTAAAATGAAAATAATTTCATTAATGAAAGTTTTAAAAAAAAGTACAAATAATTGACTTAGAGAGAATTTAACAAAAGGGAGAACACATGTATTGAAATTGAAGCAGAGAAAAAAAGGAGTTCACTTGAGCAGATATTTCGGGCGGTCGTGTGCAATGCCCGAAGGGTGGGTTCGTTAAGCGCCACTAGCTTTCGCAGCAAAGCTAGAACACTCAGCGGTGGAATGCTGCCGAAATACCTACTCAATGTTTCCACAAATAATTACACATTAAACTATAAATCA